CTAATCTTTGTATTTTTAGTAGAGATGGGGGTTTTACCATGTTGGTCAGGTTGGTCTCGAACTCCTGACCTCAGGTGATCCACCTGCCTCGGCCTCCTACAGTGCTGGTAACAGGCATGAGCCACTGCACCCAGCCTAAAACTTGCCATTTTCATAGTGATTTCCACGTTTTCTTAGAGATGGGGCAATTTATACTTCACAAGTAATAGATATACTCACCTGGCTGGGCATGGTGGCTCACGGCTGTAATCCCAACACTTTGGGAGGCCGAGACGGGTGGATCACCTGAGGTCAGGAGTTCAAGACTAGCCTGGCCAACATGGTAAAACCCCATCTCTACCAAAAATACAAAAATTAGCCCAGCATGGTGGCAGGCACCTGTAATCCCGACTACTCAGGAGATTGAGGCAGGAGAATCACATGAACCAAGGAGGCGGAGGTTACAGTGAGCTGAGATCACGCCACTGTACTCCAGCCTGGGCGATAGAGTGAGACTCCTCCTCAAAAAAAAAAAAAAAAAGTACTCACGTGTTCCACACATCCTCATCAGCCTCATGTCTTGTCACTTTTTATTTTTTTGTCAATCTGATAGGTGAAAAATGGTATCTCACTGTGATTGTTGCTTGTGATTCTATTTGTGAGGTTGAACATCTCCAACCATCACCACCAACTTTGACCTTAGGTGCAGGAGGTCGAGTAAATTGTAAATCATTCATAGTTCAAGCACATTATCATCTTTGATGTACGCAAGGATCTCTCTCTCTCTCTTTTTTTTTTTTTTTTTGAGACGGAGATCACTCCATCACCCAGGTTGGAGTGCAATGGCGTGACCTTGGCTCACTGCAACCTCCACCTTCTGGGTTCAAGTGATTCTCCTGCATCAGCCTCCTGAGTAGTTGGGATTACAGGTGTGCATCACCACGCATGGCTAATTTTTGAATGTTTAGTAGAGACAGGGTTTCACCATGTTGGCCAGGCTGGTCTTGAACTCCTGGCCCCATGTGATCTGCTCAACTTAGCCTCCCAAATTGCTGGGATTACAGGCGTGAGCTACCAGGCCCAGCCATCTTTTGTTACATTTGTTTATTCTCTTATATTTTTATGCCCTTTCTTGTGAATCTAGATGTTCTTGCAAAATGTGTATTATTTTATTGAGTCTATGTTGTAGTTTTAGAGCTGCTATTTCCTTTTTTGTAAACATTTTCTTTATATCTTTTGCCTGCTTGGCTACTGGATTTGTCTTTTTCCTATTGATTTGTGTGAGCCCTTCCTTTTTTTCTTTTTCTTTTTTCTTTTTTTTTTTGAGACGAAGTCTCTCTCTGTTGCCAGGCTAAAGTACAGTGGCACGATCTCAGCTTACTGCAACTTCTGCCTCCTTGGTTCAAGTGATTCTCCTGCCTCAGCCTCCTGAGTAGCTGGGGCTACAGGCGCATGCCACCATGGCCAGCTAATTTTTTTTTTTTTTTTGAGACGGAGTTTTGCTCTATCACCCAGGCTGGAGTGCAGCCGCGCGATCTCAGCTCACTGCAAGCTCCGCCTCCCGGGCTCATGCCATTCTCCTGCCTCAGCCTCCCGAGTTGCTGGGACCACAGGCGCCCACCACTATGCCCAGCTAATTTTTTGAATTTTTAGCAGAGATGGGGTTTCACCGTCTTAGCCAGGATGGTCTTGATCTCCTGACCTCGTGATCTGCTCGCCTCGGCCTCCCAAAGTGCTGGGATTACAGGCATGAGCCACCGCCTGGCCTAATTTTTGTATTTTTTTTTTTTTTTTTGAGACGGAGTCTCGCTCTGTCGCCCGGGCTGGAGTGCAGTGGCCCGATCTCGACTCGTTGCAAGCTCCGCCTCCCGGGTTCACGCCATTCTCCTGCCTCAGCCTCCAGAGTAGCTGGGACTACAGGCGCCCGCCACCTCGCCTGGCTAGTTTTTTGTAGTTTTTAGTAGAGACGGGGTTTCACTGTGTTAGCCAGGATGGTCTCGATCTCCTGACCTCGTGATCCGCCCGTCTCGGCCTCCCAAAGTGCTGGGATTACAGGCTTGAGCCACGGCGCCCGGCTAATTTTTGTATTTTTAATAGAGACGGGGTTTCACCATGTTGGCCAAGATGGTCTCGATCTCTTGACCCTGTGATCCGCCCAGCTTGGCCTCCCAAGGTGCTGGGCGCGTGAGCCACCGCGCCCGCTCCCTTCTGCAAGAGGACTTTTGCTTTTGCTCTTTCCTCTGAGTGGAATGCCTTTCCTTTCTTTCTCTCCTCATCTAGTTAATGCGACTTCTCCTTTAGATTCTATTCCCCTCCTCTGGGAAGGCTTCTCTGACCACCCACTAAAGACCAAATCTTCTCTGTTCACCACTATCTCCCCAGCACCCAGTACTAGATCACCCTGGATCACAATAGCTGCTCAGTAAATACTTGCTGAATGAATGAATGAATGAATGAATGAATGAATGAATGAAGGCATCAGGTGGTGACAGGCAGGTTGAACTGTTAAAAAATTTATTAAAATGTCCAAGAAGTACATTAATATCCACAGTGTCAGATACCACAGACTCACAGAACACTGCAGCTCACAGCAAAACCAGCAGGACTCAAAGCCGTTCACACGCACACACACTCATGCGTGCCACGCACATGGCACACGCAGACACACACGCACATCCCAAAGGGAAAGATCAAAAGACAAACCACCCACTTTAGAAAAGACCAGAGCCCCCTCCCACCGTGGAGCCGAGGTGGGGGCAGGGCAAATGGCTGAGGGACGCAAGGGCAGACAGCATAAACCAAGACCCCCCAAAAAACATTGCATCCCCAGACCCCTGCATCCCCAGCCCCCCACAAACAAAGGAAAATTTTTGTGTGACATGGATGACCAAAGATGTGTTATTATTATTATTTTAAACTAAGAAGAGTTATCAAAGTAAGAAGACAAACCTGTATCCCTGGGTTTTCTGAATAATAACCATAAGAAGATAGATGTCTACAGGGAGGAAGATTGAAGACAAAGATCAGGGTTCAGTTTACACTTCTTAACCATCTCCTAAATGTGTATGAGGGTGCAATTATGTTTCAGTCTCCTCTCCAGAGTCCAGAGCAGGATTTGGGTCAGAGCCAAGATAGGAGTTGGCTCTGACTCCTGGATTTGGAGTAAGGATCTGGTGATGAAGATCAAGTATAAGGAGAGCCACAGTTCCTTACTCCAAATCCTTACTCCTGTCGTGGTTGTGACTTCAAGCCAGTACCTTTCCTTTATATCTGAGCCTCAGTTTCACTGTGTGTAAAATGGGAAAGTAACAGTTTCTAAGTCAATGGGCTATTGAGAAAATTCAAGGAGATTGTATGTAAATCCTTAGCATGGTGTCTACTTCTTAGTTGTCAATGGTCATTATTACTTCCCAGAAGGGATTCAGGCTCAATTAACACATTTCTTTCTTTACTGAACCCCTAGGAGGTCCATGCATTTTCTTATTTTTCTTTCCTGAAGAGGGGCATTTTCCACAGTGTTTTTAACCCTAATCCACAGATTTTACCCAGACTGCTCAAAGTGGGTAACAGACATGGAGGAAAAGCTGTGGATCTTTCCTGCCAGAGATGAGGGAACTGGATCCTGGCCTCTGGTGTGGAGAGACCTTCCACAGGTTGCACATTTGGGGGAGGAAGACAAGGTGAGTTCTTTCCCACTTAAAAAATTAAAATCTACAAGAGAAAAATGTGTGTGTGTGTGTGTGTGTGTGTGTTTCAGTTTTAACACTGAGCATCTCTCTACAATATGACCGCAGGTAGGTGTCACTACTTCAAGTTTTAAGTGTTTCTAGACCACCAGGCAATGGCCAGGGAAAAGGGTGGGGTGGGGCAGGGGTGGGACCCAGGGCAGGGGCACTACCAATGTCTGCTTGAGGACTGGGTATGGGCACTGGGCTAGAAAACTTGGCAGCACCTCCTTGGTCCAGGAAGGAGGTTCTTTGTCTCCCTGAGAGATGGAGGGGGAAGAAATCTGGGCTCATCTAGCCCTAAATATCCTCTCGTCTATTTGTGTGAAAGAGATTAATCACACATGCAGAACCACCAAATCTCAGCACTGGACTAGACCTGGAAGGGTTAGCAATACACTCTCCCTCCATCACCTACATATTGCTTTGATTATTCTCACTCCTAACTCTGACGGCATGGAGGGAGGTTGTCCTAAAAACATCCCTAAAATGCAGTACATCGGATTTCCACACTGTATGTGTTTATCCACCAAGACCAAAGACGGAACTTGGGCTGAAGCCCAGGGTAAAGGGAGAGCTGTTGTCAGGTTCAAAAACAGTGTGCTTCTGTGTAGCCTTCTATTCCCAAAGCTAATGACCCTACGTCCAGGCTTCTTCCTGGATTTAAGAATTCAGCCAACATTGACTAAGTCTGAATTTCTGGTGTGAAAAGCAATTCCTTCATGTGAATGCAAACATACACTCATGCACCCTCATCAAGGCCTGCTTCAATCAGCCTGGCAAACAAGAGACCAGACCAATGAGCTTTGCTACTTGTGCTTCCCTCAGCTGGGAGACGCTCCCAGAGTTCAGCCAGACGAGAATGGACTTTTCAGACACCTGGCTCCACCTGCCAAGAGGATCTTGCGCATGTAAAAAAAGGGAAGAGGAGCTTTGTACAAAGGATTATGTGTAGGGGGATGTGGTTTGGGGTTCGGGGACTTCTGGACTCTCTTGTTTCTCTGGGTTCTGTCTCCCCAGGGGAAGGTTCCAGAGGAGGCATGGGGAAGGTTCCAGAGGAGGCGTGGGAAAGGTGTTGTGCTTTCTTTTTTTCTGGTTCTTCAGCAGAAATTTCCTTCATCCTTCTCCCAGTCCTCCGTTGGGTGTTTCTTGTGTTTTCTGCGCTCCTTGTGGGATTTGTGGTGGTGATGCTGGTGGTGGTGTTGGTGGTGGTGGTGGTGTCGCCGCATCCGATGTGAACGTCTGGCTGCAGGGAAGTGAGGGAGGACAGGGAAGGGACAAAAGGTGGTGAGAAGCAGGTGGCCTGATGCAGTGGGTCTCCTCAGGAGAGCAAGTAGAGGAAAGCGGCCAGACATGAGGGCTCATCCCTGTCATCCCAGCACTTTGGGAGGCCAAAGTGGGAGGATCTCTTGAAGCCAGGAGTTTGAGACCAGCCTGGGCAACATAGCAAGACCCTGTCTCTACAAAAATCAAAAAATTAGCCAGGCATGGTGGCACATGCCTGTAGTCCCAGCTATTTGGGAGGCTGAGTTGGGAGGATCCCTTGAGCCTGGGAGGATGAGGCTACAGTGAGCTGTGATTGAGCCTCGCACTCCAGCCTGGGCAACAGAGTGAGACTCT